TTTTATTGGCCTACTCTCTTCAAGGATGCCCATAAGTTCATCTTATCTTGTGGTGAATGCCAAAGAATAGGTAATATCGGTAAGCGCCAGGAAATGTCTATTAATTATTTTCTTGCTGTTGAACCATTTGATGTTTGAGGATTTGATTTCATGGGACCTTTTCCTTCCTCTAATGGGTATACTCATATTTTGGTTGTTGTCGCTTATGTTACTAAATGGGTAGAAGCTATTCCAACTAGTAGTTCCAATCACAACACCTCTATTAAAATGCTTAAGGAAGTTATGTTCCCAAGGTTTGGAGTCCCTATATATTTAATGACTGATGGTGGTTCACACTTTATTCATGGTGCTTTCCGTAAAATGCTTGGTAAGCATGGTGTTAACCATAGAATTGCATAACCTTATCATCCTCAGTCTAGTGGTCAAGTTGAACTTAGCAATAGAGAAATAAAATTAATTTTACAAAAGACTATCAATAGGTCCTGGAAGAATTGGTCTAAGAAACTAGATGATGCACTTTGGGCTTATAGATCAGCATATAAAAATCCGATGGGTATGTCTCCTTATAAAATGGTTTACGGAAAAGCTTGGCATTTGCCTCTTGAGTTACAACATAAAGCATATTGGGCAATTAAAGAACTCAATTATGATTTCAAACTTGCTGCTGAAAAGAGGTTATTTGATATTAGCTCATGAATGGAGAACCCAAGCTTATGAAAATGCAAAGTTATTCGAAGAAAAAGTTAAAAGATGGCATGATAGAAGAATCCAAAAGCGTGAGTTCAAAGTTGGAGAATATGTTCTTTTGTGCAACTCTCGTTTCGGATTCTTTGCAGGAAAACTCCTCTCCAAATTGGAAGGACCCTATGTCATCGAGGAGGTTTATCGATTTGGAGCTATCAAAATATATAATGTAGAAGGCACTAACCCGAAGGTTATTGATGGGCAACGAATAAAACATTATATCTTAGGTACGTCCATTAATGTTGAAAGCAATATTATCCAAACTATGACACCGAAAGAACACATAAAAGAAACCTTCCAGAACACTCCAGAATTATGAAAAAGAGGAGGTACATGATACGGTAAGTAAACAGACTCCGAAAAATCTGCAAAAATATTTTTTGTCAGTTTTGGAATATTTAAAAAATTAGGAAAATAAGAAACTACTAGGAAAGTGACCTTGGTGGGCACAAGACACCAGTGCACGCCTAGCTTGCCAGGCGCGCCTAGGTGGGTGGTGCCGACCTCGGGCATCTTCTGGACTCCGTTTTGCTAGAGAGCTCGCACTCGTACTCGACAAGCTCGCGGCATTCGAACGCCAGCGGCGGCCGGATCCCGTGGTTGAGCCACCTCCGTGCGCCCCACTTGCGTGTGGCAGCAGATCTGCGACGGCGGTGGCGCTCTGTATCATCCCCAGAGCTCCCGTAGCCATCCATGGATTTTTTAGGCTCGCCGGCGGTAAGAAATTGGGCATAGGAGGAGGGGAATCGCGCCGGAGCAGCGGCTGAGGCGTATGGGGTTTGACCCGTATCCGAGCGGTGAAACCGCATATATAGAGGTGGCGAGGAAGTTTTTTTGGGCCATAGTAAAACGGGATGAACCTGTATACTCGCCGGAATTATACGGGTTCGGCCCTTTTACAGGGTATACTAGAGATGCTCTAATGGCCGTGCAGCCCACGAACACTACGCAGCCCAGTCGAACACAGGGAAGGAGGAAAAACACGCGAGAGACAGGGAAGAAAATGATCGCCGGAGGGGACGAGCCTTTTTTAAAAAAAAACTTTCAATCTATTCATCTTTAATCATGGTAGTACAACAAACACTAGAAATAATAAAAATTACATCCAGATCCGTAGACCACCTAGCAACGACTACAAGTACACTGAAGCGAGACGACGGCGTGCCGCTGTCATCGCCCCTCCCTCGCTGGAGCCGGGAAAACCTTTTTGTAGTAGACAGTCGGGAAGTCGTCTTGCTAAGGCCTCATAGAACCAATGCACAGAGGAAGATTGTAGATCAAATGGTCCAACATGAAGACACACGAATGAAGACGAACGACGAATAGATCCGAGCAAATCCATCAAAGACAGATCCGCGGATACACACCTCCAGACGCCCGCTGGTGATGCTAGACGCACCACTAGAACAGGGGCTAGATAATGAGTACGTCTCAGTAATCTTCTTCTTGCCTTCTTCCTCATGAATTGTCCACTGAAATGGATCATTCTTTCATCATTACATTGCTTTACACCTGATCGATCTTTCTCCTTTGTCTTCCCACAAGAAATATCTTTTGTCAATCATGAAATAAACAGTGGTTGCTAGTTGATACAGAAAAGGCACGAGATAAATGGAGAAGAGGCACGAGATAAATGGAGAAGACCTGCCTGTGGTTGAAAAACCTGTATCGGCTCTTCTTATGAATTGTGACAATCAAATGGTTATCGCTAAAGAGAATAATTCTAAGGATAATGTGAAGTCATCAAGACAAGTGAAGAGACATTTAAAGTCTGTCAGGAAGTTGAGAAACTTCGGAGTACTAACTGTTACGTATATTCAAACAGACAAAAACCTGGCATATCCCTTTACAAAGGGACTATCACGAAATGTGATATATATTGCATCAAGGGAGATGGGTATGAGTCCCATAGATGTTACATCATAGTAGTAACCCAACCTTTGTGGAATAACAAGCTATTGGTTAACTGAAGAGAGTAATAAGTGACTGTCTCTAGGTGAAGATGCAAAGCTCTTAGAGCCGTAAGGCTCGAAGCTGTAAGGCAGGTTGGCAACATTCCTTAATGTGGTTCTATTGGCTATTATAGCAAATATGTTGTCCTACATAGCAGTCTTGAAAGATCGCACATATATAAGCTTTGACTGTAAACGTCGCATTCCGTGAGATTTGGGTGATCTCTAGTAAGCTCACAAAGAGACCAGTGAGTATGGCGTATAAGCTCCAAACCACGGGGTAGCCTACTGGCAGACAAGTACTGTTTAAGACTCTGAGTGAAACATGTTCATACAAAACTAGCAATTCAAGGCCCATGAAAACTGTGCACACAAACCTGTTTCACGCAAATTTTGATATGAAAGATCTAGGAGAAGCCGATGAAAACTAACAGTCTCCGCTGAAACACTGGTATATTAAACAAGTGGTGAGAAAAGATAAAACTCTAAATAGGTATTTAAGATCTGCTGGGGGGTTATTAGAAATAATGGTTCCAGCCCACTGTTCAAGAAATCTTTCGATTCATCGATTAATCTTCCGATTTATCGCTAATCGGGGGGTGACCGATAAGATTATGCCTTATCTTTTCCGTTTATCTTTTGGACCGATTTATCGTTCTGACAAGCGATTTATCGGGAATTTACCGATAAATTAGACCTATTCATAGCATGATGTTTGCAAAAACTATGTTTATTTATGTTTTGTGGACCTTGTTATGAAATATGTACTATTTTCCTATTTTGTTTGCCATTATACGAGGATTCAAAGGCTAGAAATCAAGGTAACACTTCTGTCAAATATTGTGTTGGTGTTGAATGTAGCCTATTTTAGTGTTGGGAACCTGATATTTGCAAAAAAAATATCTGATTAATAGTCGACAGATAAATTCGATTAATCGGCTGATTTCTGATTAATCCCTAATCCTTAGCTGACCGAAACGATAACGATAAGCGATATCCTCAACATTGTTCCAGCCCATTAACAAAATCCGAAATCTTAAATGAGCCCATGTGTAAAATGGCAAGTGGTGGTGCTAAAATTTAGTCGCACCCCGGAAGTTGAAGAAGAGTTTGACCTCTTCATATAGTGGGTTCTCTCTATCACTCTAAGTGGTGCGTTGAGAAGAGAAAGGGAAGACCACACACGCGCGCTCGCTCGTCTCGCCCCACCGGGGCGGGTCGGGGCGTACGCGCGACATACGCGTGAATGGTCCGCCTCGCCCCCCAATGTCCGCCTCTGGACCGTCTGTCGGGAAGGTCAGGACGCCGGAGCAGTATATGGCCAATGTGATGGAGGGTGCTCGGATCACCGAGCCCCGACGTATCAAGGACACTATGTACTTTTAGTTTATACTTCAGAATGCGGAAGTTTGAACGTCGTAAAAAGACAAGCTTTTGTTTAAGTTAAATGAATTGGGCCTTTTCTTTTGATGTGTGTTGATTTTTTTTTTTACTCTCGTGTGACCATTTTAACACAGAAAATGACTAGCCGTCGGCTTCCACCCCCTAATACAGGATATCAGGGGTGTTTCTGTAACAGTATTAACCCTTAGCCGATGTCTCGGTTCGCGAAGGTGGTTCGTGCATATAGAAAATAGACAATCAGACTATATTGGTTTTATAACTTTCACTTAAGCATAGAACCTTAACTGTGGGAGCTAGTGACTGGCCCCCGGTTTATGAAGTGTTCGCTTGTAGCCGAGGTTTAAACCACTAGCCACTTCGGCTAACCATTAGAAAGAGAAAACAGAAAGAGAGAGAGAATAAAGCAAATTAAAGCATCTAGGGGGAATCACCTCATTCGCACGCAGGGCCGGCCCAGGGGGGCCGGCCGCCCCGGGCCTCGAAAATCCAGGGGGCCCTCCCCAGACGCGCAGGTAGCCCATGGGCCATTGCCCAGGTAGGCAAGAGACGCAGCAATGGTTCGATCACGCAGAGTCAACGTTCGTTCTTAAAAAAGAGGCAACCTTCCTTCGATCGGGCAAACATCGCTTCATGGTCGAGCGCCCAGCGTCTGATGATCGATGCAGATCCGATCTATCCCAGGTGCTCCGTAGTGTAGCTACATATTCTCCACACACACGTATATTGCTAATTAAGTAATTTACCTTGGGAGCGCACGACAGGCTTCTCGGCGGCCTCCTGGATCGAGCCAGGGACCAATCAAGCAAGCAAACCAGGGGTGGAAGGAACTGACCTTGGGTCTCGACGGCCAGGCGGTCCTCGAGGGTGAAGCCGAGGAAAGAGATCCCGCCCGTGACGCACATGACGCGCGTCGCCGTGGCGCGCTTGGCCGCCAAAGCCGAGCCGCATCTCCTCCACGCGGGGCCGCCAACGCCGAGCCGCAGCGCCGCCCGCATCTCCTCCACCTCCGCCGCCATGCTCTGCGTGCTCAGCAGCACCCCCATGGCGCGGCCGCGAATGCCTCTCCTCTTGCTTTGCTCCGTGTCACCTTGGCTTGGCGTGGCCACAGCAAGTACGTGAATGGGCCAGGGAGGGAAAAGGAGGAGAGATTAGAGAGACGCTGGCAGGTGAGCCAGCGGCTGCAAAGCGCTGAAAATAGCCCTCCGGGGTGCCCCCAGCTCTTTGGGTTTGCCTCGGGGTCGCCGGCTCAATTTTTGGCCAAATCTGGGGCTAATCGAGCTCGTCGGGGCGTGACTTGAGTGGGACTTTCTTAATCCGCCGGCGGTGAAAAAGTGGCTCTAGGGGCCTTTTTGGGGGGACTGCTCGAGATGCTCTAAGGGAATGTCAAGTGGGATTGGGTTGGACGCGGATTTTTTAGAGCTTAGGCTCATGGACACCCTCTATCCATACCCTTCAATATAGCTTTGAGATCCGTGCTAGACAACTAACTTACAGCGTACAAATTTCTCTTTTTTGTTGCTTCCAAATAAAACAACATATGGACATCTAACTTTGCAAGATAGCAAAACATTCTTACTACCATGAGAGAAAAAACTTACAGATTTTTTTGACCAACATAAATATACAAAATGAGATTTTCTTTATTCAAAAATGTTATTTTTAGTACTTATGATGCACGAAAAAATCTCAAAGTTTTTTCCCACATTCTAGTTAGAATGTTTTGTTGTGCTGCAAAGTATGAAGTTTATATGTTGTTTTATCTGGAAGAAACAAAAAAGAGAAAAGTTCTTGCGTGAATCGCGATGCAGAGATGGATGGCTAGATAAGAGGGTGCACCTGAGCCTAAGCTCTACAGAATATTTTCCGGATTGGGTTCGTTCGAATCAAACCTTGGCAGGGAGAAGGATGTCAATCTTCCTCGCTCCCTCTGACGTGGTCGGTTTCTGACTAGTGAGGCGCCGGGAGGCGGAGAAGGTTGGGAGGGCAGCGGAAGCTATGGATCTTAGGCTGATACCATGTCAGAACCAGAGCGAGGGTAGGAGAGAAAGGTTTTGTGCAACGTTTGATTTCATTGATACCAAGATTACACGTATATGTAGTTACACAGCTCAACTGAACCAAACGAGAACCAGCCGTGGGAATAGGGCAGCACTAACCACTAACCCCACTCCTCTATACATGCAGTACACACGATCGCTAACACCGTCGACTCCGTCGTGGAACGCTTCCTGGCGGGGGAGGCTGCGGGGGCTGGCGCGAGGGAGGAGGGCGCTGCCGACGACCACTTGCTGGCCGGGGAGGGTGCTGCCGGCGAAGACAAGAAGCTCGAGAAGCTGCAGCAGGAGTTCGACGAGCTGCGCACGGAGCTGGCCGAGTTGAAGAAGCGGACCAAGCGCACGGACAAGGCCATGGCGAAAGAGCGCTCTGCGGGGGACCAGATAGCGGCTTGGTTCAACCCCAAGGCGCGCGACATGGGAGACGAGGACATGGCGGCCTTCTTCGCCGCGCTGATGCAGATGAAGGACGCCGTCTCCGATGGCGCCAACCAGGTTCTTCTCGAGGCGATGCACGCCCACATGAGCCGCATGGCGGAGGTGGCCCCGCCGCCGCCGCCGCCCCAGATCTTCGGTGGTAACACCTTCGAGTTCGGTAGCAGCAGCGGCACCGCCAACGACGGGATGGAGTTCCAGTTTCTGGGGCCTCCACCACAGGAGCAGGGGTTCGAGGCCCGGATGGATATGCAGCAGATGGTGATGGCGCCGCTGCCTCCGTCTCACGTGGTCGCCGCCGGGATGGATGTGCAGGACATGCCTCCGCCGCCGGGGTTGGCCGCCGGGATGGATCTGGAGCAGATGCAGATGACGATGCCTAAGCCGCCGGGGTTCGACGCAGGGCTAGACAAGGAGATAGATCAATGGCTTGATGTGATGCTGCCGCGTCCGGAGTTCACTGCCGGGATGGAGACGGTGCAGCAGGGGCTCCATCAACCCAACGCCGGCTTCCCGTACTGAGATCCAAACCCAGTCAGAGCCCGAGTCCAGTGCATGCATATGGACACTAGTTTCGTATGCCTAGTTTACATATGCATCTTCTACTCAAGTCTTCGCGTTAATTTTTTGTTTTGTTTGAAATGAAGTCGTCGCGTCAATCTTTGGTACATGCTCTGCATCTACCCTGGATGTGGACGAAATTAAATATTTCGTCAATATTTTTATTTGGTCATTTCCTTTCCTTATCATGCATTAATGGGTTGTAATCTGTATTGCACCGATATGAATGAAATACAAAGGTCAATCTGTTCTGGATACATCTATTTATTAATTACTGTACATATTACTAAAATAAGGGACAAACGAGCCATCCCATGCATTCACATAATCTACAATTTTGACACCGTTTATAAGAATTTTTAATGGCTGAGATTTAAAAGATTCGAAAATTACGTCAGTATGCAATGATTACAAACTACGTACCATTAAATGTTTATAAACAAAAACGCAAGAACTGATGCATAAATCTAAATATCAAGAGGAATATATGTCACTAATTCTAAATAAAATATAATCAAAATCGATGTGCCTTAAAAATACACGATCTCTTGATTCTTATATAAAGGTTGAGATAATTTCAAACAAATAATATTATAAAGGTTGAGATTAAAAGAGAAAAAAAGGTATTCATGACTTTAATCAGTGAGCAACGGTCACACACAAAAAGGGTCGCATACATAGGCATCGAGAAATTAGCCATTTGGGTATGCATCTATGAGGCACATATAGACAAGGAAAAGCCTACCGGTAAAAAAGGGAAATACTTTCTAATAGGCATATATGTTCTCCCTCGGTTGTTTCTACTCCATTTATTATATTTGTCCGAGGCCAAAAATTTGTAAAGCTTGAATATATTTATAGGGAAAATATCAAGATCTACGATACCAAATTAATATAATATGCGAAATTTATTCCACAATGGATCTAATGATGTCAATTTTGTATTTATTTTTTTCATGTAAAAGTTATTCAAACATTGAAGAGTTTGACTTGAGACAAGCTAATATTCAGAGTAAAAAGAAACAGAGGGAGTACATAATTTTGCATGAGGTTTATAGAAACTCCGCAAGGCCAACAGTAATAGGAAGGCAACATTACCCAAGGAAAAAATGCTATAGAAAAAACATTCGCAAACTACAGAGCGAAACAGCCACAAAAATCAACAAAATTGTCAGAGGGACAGATGCAAAGATCGCCAACCAATCATAAACATAAAAGATCCAAGAAATTTGTCAATTTGTGATAATAATTATATATGCAGTTTTATCATGTCGATCGAGAATATGAGTTTTTTTATCTTTTTTAAAATACATCCTAGATAAATCTTTTATGATGTGGATAAATAAAATGATTCACTCATATATATAAAGTTTGAAATATTGATTTTTTTTCATAAATCTGATTGTGTTTTATCAAGCTACACATTCTGGCTACAATGTTTCTCCTATAATTTTTGTTGCATATTATTGACTAATAAGAAAAATTAAATAGGATAACATTCTCTAGACAAACTACTGTTAGAGAAAACAGTGACATGTGCACCACCAGAGAATAACAAGTTATGACAAGGGTGAGTGAGAGAACATTTCACAAATCTCGGCAACACTCAATGATAGTTACATTGATTTACATTGGAAAGCAAGATAGTGAATTGGAGTATTATGAGAAGACATCGAGCATATGGATCAGGTATGATATGGTATTTATAAAAATACGGTGAAATGAAAAAAGGAATCAAGTATATGAAATAAATATTTACATTTTCCCTAAAATTCCAAAAAATCTTTGTGGACAGAATCAAGGGATGAGAAGGACTGGAATAGCGAAAGCTGAAGAATACTATGAGAGATAATTTTTTTTTTGCATTATGGGAGACATACCACGATCCTTTTCGTCCTTCACCATCACACATCATTGTACTTGCCAGCAACTTCATATAAAAAGGAATTGAATTTGCGCCAGAATCTAACTTTGTTGTCCCGAGATGTAAATGGTGTTCATATTATCTATATCAAGATGAATGCAACACTACTAGGAAAAAGGCTACTAGCAGCGCGGGTAAAATGGGTACTAGTAGCGCGGGTACCCGCGCTACTAGTATCGCGCTACAGCTAATAGTCAGTAGTAGTGTGGGTTAAACCCTCGCTACTACTAACTTTGTTAGTAGTAGCGTGTGCCCCCCAAGCTACTGCTATTACGTACACGCGCTACTACTAATGAAATAGTAGTAGCGTGGGTAAACAACCAACGCTACTAGTATCCTATATACTAGTAGCGCTCAGTTTCCTCCCCACGCTACTACTAACAATTTTGGAATTAAAAAAAATAAAAAATAGATGTAGTATTCATGAATAGTAATACGTCCAATGCAAAACAAATGAATGTCACTGAACCATCTCAATATTTCATTTAACATGCCACAGAACCATCTCAAGATTCCATTTAACATCAGACACACACAACCATCATCGTAAGGTGGGTACCTTCCCTAGTGGTCTACCACCAACCTAAACAGACCAATTCTCTAGATGTATCTACCTATGCTCGGAGTTCATACGTCGGTGGACTCGAATCCTCCCTCTCCCCCGGATGATGGCGTCAAGTTCCTCCACCTCGGCGACCTCCGGCATCGAAATCACCTGGACGATCATCTATGCGACGTGGCAACCAGGCTTCACGGCGAAGTCCGTCTCCGAGTGGTTGAAGAGCATAGCGCCACCGGGCCGTGCTAGTCAGCGTCGATCACCTCTACGCCCACGTCGGGAAAGTGAAAACTTGTTAGTACGCAAATTGCAACAGTTCAACCAAATATAGTACTAGCAAACATGCACGAATAGGGAAAAGACATTTTCTCGTTCACCTAGTTAGGTATCAACTATTTAAATAAAAAAATCAGCAACTTCTTCCTTAAATAAAAGCGGTGCTTGGTAACTGCACTTGAAAAGCTTGATAGCATATGAGATTAAGATATATAAATTTATGTGGTCACGTCCTTGCATGTTGGAAACAATCATTGGTTAAGATTACACTCTTTTGTAGAGGAAAGAACTTTGGGACAATCAACAACCTTTCACTTGATATCCGCTAGCTACTTTGGATTCAATAAGAAAAGGAACATTTATTTGAACTGAAAAGAACAAGCAGGCAAGCATGATATCAATCTTTTGACTAGAATTTCACAAAATGCACCTGTCAAGTGTACTCTAACAATCGATGTGTCCCATCTCCTCATGATTAAGGACTTTAGCTGAGCCGACAACATGGAGCAAGATGTAGTCGTTTCCGAGCATGAACCCTTGGCTGTCATCAATGAACCTGCAACATCCATCATGTCCATTGTAAAATATCTTAGTTTCAGATAAGAAAAGAACTGAACTCTGAACATAGGATGTTATCTAAATCCTTACTTTATGGAGTCAAGATTTCAGCAGCAAAAAAAGGAAATATATTTCACTGATTTTGGTGTTGCAACAACATATATACTTTATCACATTATAAGTCCTCATACCATCAACTATGACAAAATCTGAGAGTATATGTCTGGTTACATTCAACAAAGTCCAAATATAAAATTCTGTCCAACATAGTACAGCCCACTTTGATAATTTCATAGGATTTAATATACCGAACGAAACCTGACAAGTGATATGTGTTTAAGTATCTACAGAACAGCCTCTAAAATTTTCATGTTGTAACTTTATTTTAATACCACCTCTAACAAGGCCTAATCTCCCATATCAAAATACTGTACCCAGGAACATATATTTCGGGACAGCAAACTAAACTGATAGCTGCTCTCAAACCGTACATCCAAATGACACAAATAAATGCTCTAAAGAAACCTTGAAACTTTATCTAAAACATACGTAAAGGGGCCAACTCAAAATTCTGAGCCTAGCTAACTCATTTTTCAGATATAATCTTGCTGTCCAGATTTTCTCTAAAAGGCAACCACATCTCGCAATATTGCTCATGAATGGGCTATCATCCCTAACTAATTTGGTTAAACAAAGGATCTAGCATACAATAGGTCTGCTATGCACCTTACATGGATGTTACAAAAACACCCGAAATCCAAGTTCAGTACATGAAACACTCACTAGGTAGTAGGTACTAGTTTGAGCTCACGTAACAAGCCAAGGGTTGAGTTTAGCTCCTATTGACTTAGCTTCTCACTTCTCTCATGTATAAGTAAAAGGCTAGTGAATTAAAAATACAACTAGCTGCAGATTATTAACCCAATACGAATCATAAATTTCGAGGGAAGCTAACTGTACAACCAGTATTGGACTGAATCATGTATTTCGACTGCATATAAAGACATAATCCCTCTTTGTGTACTGAAAATGCTGAAACTGATGCACATGCGTCACTAGTCAGACAAAATTCAGCATGGGTTCGGCACCCCCACAGCTAGCTGATCCGTGTCCGGGAACGGCACACACGGGTTCCGCGTGAGGCAGGACAGAAGAACAAGAAGAAACCTTGGGGTTGGCGGACGGGGCGATGGAGGAGGAGACGAGCTGGGCGCGGGCGCGGCTTACCGCCGGCCGCGCGGAAGCAGTCGAACAGGCACCCCATTCAAGGACGGTGGCACGCACATCTATCTCACAAGGCTCTACTTGATAAACAAAAGCATATAATACTTGATGCTATCAATCTTAGCACAAGAAGAAAAATTAAGTAATTAACACAGCCTCTCCGATAGAATGGATGGATGCATCATGCACAATCATTGCTTATAAGTGGACTGAGCTTTGTTTGCTATTCTGAGTTAGTGTTGGTGCACCGTCGGCACCACCGTGGATGTTCCCGTGGTGACCCTCGACGCTGACGCTGATGATGGCGGAGTGTTCCAGCCCGCGCGCAGCCGGTAGCTTTGCTCCTGGTAGTTCAACTGCCCCCGCTTTTGGTAAGCTAGCTATGTGCATGGCCTTTCAAGTTTATGTATGCGGTTGTCC